CCAGATATTCATTCTTAAAAACCTGCTCCAGCTCTGTACACAGAACAAGATCAGGAAAAGCAGATCCCAATGCATTAGGAAAAGGGATGCTGTAATCAAATTTCATGTTTTCCGCAGAATATATCAAACATCCTGTTTCTCTTATAATACACACACTACACTCCCTTTAGCAGCCAGATTCCCCTTTCCATCTCCTTTTCAACACCTTTTCTGTCCTCCCCATCCTCCTCCCTTAGCTCTCGTCTTACAGATCTGATTCACATATACCATCTGTGAGATAGAAAACAAATAATGTACGCTAATTTAGCGCACCGTATGCACAAGTTGCTCCCTGACTTCTTGCTTTGGTGTTCGAATAGCACCCAGTGTCCTTCTTAGGTCCCCACATGGGTCAATGGATGCTATCAAGTGCCAAGAGTGCGCTATTGAAAAAACACAGCTGAGACCCAACTTCCTAGTGGTGCGTTCTTACTGCTCAGCAACATGCGTGGTGGAGATGTGTACAGATATGTAGAATGGGCATGTACACATGCAGAAGAAAGGGTTAGGTGTGGTGAAGTTGTCTGAAGCCCCTCCCCATCAATTTGCATGCATTCAGCATTACGTTCTCTCTAAAAATAGTAATATCTGCGGTCATTGAGAATTCTTTCCTGATATATTCAAGAGGTTAAGCCAATACATCTCTTCTGTCTTGCATGGTACAAATCTTGATTTGCAAGTGTGTGTATTAACCCCAATTGGTTTTGTTAACTCGGGAGCCAGAAATTCTGGAAAGGAAAGGTGAAGGAATTTGGTCCCCAAAACTGAAGCAGTCAAAACGTTTTGTAGAAAGGCCCAATCGCGGCCGCGAGGAACTCCCAACAAAACATGCCACGCAAGGAGAGCTGTTGGGAACAGATAATTGTTGGCTTTTCATATCAGATCAGTTACTGGGTTCATCAAAATGCCTGTGGACGCGCAGGCCCTTGCGGTGGCAACCGTCAAGAAATAATCTTTTGGGTGTGTTATATTAGTCTTCTTTTCAAAAGGAGCTCTGGTGTTCTTTGGAAGCTTACTGAGGATTACGCCGTGAGATCGATAATGGCAGACAAATGTCACTCAGAGACAACTTTAAGCAGAGGGAGCGTTTGGGTGTGCTATAGGCTGAATTCAGTAAACAGTGGCGTTAAGACTGGGCTCTCAATCACAACCCAGATGCTTGCATAATACGCAAAGGGTTTGCATGGCAGTGGCCCAGGGAGCCCTCAGCGGACGGGAGGATTCCCTGCACATAGGGAAACAAACCCACCTCAGGAGAAGAGGTTGCAGTAGACACACTAGGAAACCTACACCAGCTTTCAAAGACCAACGCCCATGATGGCAACTGCATCCGGCATTGAACAGACTGCTCTCCTTATCTCTCCATAGTTGCCAGCTTCAGTTTCGTCCCTGGTTGCTTTTCTATCCTGTCCTTCCTTCAAGAAGCTCAAGGTCATATCCTGGCTGTCTCACCTCCAGATATTGGCCAGTGCCTAATTTGAGCCCTTTGAGACATGCACCTCCTATTTCGTGTCAAGACTTGACATCTGAGATGCCACCAATGGCCCTTGCCTGAAGCTCCTTCTCCTCGCTTAAAAGATGAGGTGTAAACAAGGTCAAACCAATGGTACAGGATTCCTGTGAGTTAAGGATTTGCCAGGCAAAATTTATCTTGCTCCTTTGGGAATGTTCTATAAATGTGTTATGGCCTGGCAGGTTCCAAACTACATGTAGGGTAGCTTTCAGCTGCTGTAGGTGAGACAACTACACAAAACGTCCAGGTAAGGCCAGAAGTGATGAAGTCATCCTGGTACTGTGCAAAGGGTGGCTCTGAATTTTTCAAGGACTTGAAGCGTCAGACATTTTCCTACAGTCTCCTCCCCACTTCTCCTTAAGGAGGTCCTCTACTGCCCTCCTCACAGTGCTAAAATGGCATGATCTGGTGCAGAGAGTGGACCTGCAGTCCAGACACATGGCAGTCTGTTTATCTCTCATCCTGTAATCATACAGAACACTCTCCAAGGCATACATGCAAGGACCAGTGTCGTCCTCTGCTTCTCTCCCGCGTACAGCATTGCAGGAGCAACAACCAGTTGTGAATGGATGCAACCCATGAAGGCAGAAGACAGTGCCACCTTTGGGCTAGCCATCACTATTTTTACTCTCTCACTATATGGCTTCCTGACACTCGGGAAAGCATCAGGGAAGGACCACGTGCCAGGAAGCTTGCTGGTTGGCCAGGAAGGACAAGAGTGAAGTTTTAGAAACTTACAGCCCTAGTCAAAACAAATGAAATTAAATTAAAAAATTCCTTCCACTAGCACCTTAGAGAGCAACTAAGTTAATTATTGGTATGAGCTTTTGTGTGCATGCACACTTCAGATACACTGAAACAGAAGTCACCAGAACCTTATATATAGTGAGAGGGTAGGTCAGGGTATGTGCTTGACTGATTCAGCAACTTCTCTTTCTAGTCTATTTGTGAAATTCTTTTGTATTAAGACAGCTACTTTGAGATCTTGTATAGAATGTCCTGGGAGATTGAAGTGTTCTCCTACTGGTTTCTCTGTCTTGTGATTCCTGATATCAGATTTATGTCCATTTCTCCTTTGGCGTAGGGTTTGGCCTGTTTGTCCAATATAGAGAGCTGAAGGGCACTGTTGGCATTTGATGACATACACAATGTTAGAAGATGAGCAATTAAAAAGTCCTGAGATGGTATGTTTGATGTTGTTGGGTCTTATTAGAAAAGAATTTCAGAAATAGAGACATTGGATTCTTATCTCATTATGTATGATAAAGCTATTTTTAGCTATCTCACCCCTTGCTTTTTCCTGTAAGACCAATTGCAGTCCTTAACAGTAGTCAACAGGTTTACCACACCTATCAGCCAATCACCCATTCCCACCACCCTTCTGAGTAATACCCCTCCCCACCTTCTCATAAGGCTCTGGAGAAGTGTGCATGCACACGAAAAGCTCATACCAATGACTAACTTAGTTGCTCTCTACTGGAAGGAATTTTTTTATTATTTTATTTTATTTTGTTGTGACTATGGCAGACCAACACGGCTACCTACCTGTAACTTACAGGCCTAGTTTAGCAGGCTCCAAGAAGCCTTGGGTCAGCTTACCCCAAACTGTGCCCTGCCTTCTTCTGGGACACCGTATCAGTGGCACCTTCTTACTTTATTGACGGCATGCAAGAGATGTTGCTTGCACCATGTTAAATGATGCTTCAGGCAGCCTTGCCCTCCCAGGTTGCAGCTTCAGCAATAAAATACTCTTTTGAGATCTGGTGGCACTTTCACTGCCGTGCAAAGTTGCACAGCCAGGGAGAATGTGTGGGCTCACTGTGTTGGGTGCGTCACCAGATGAAAGCAAAAGGAGCAAAGTCATCTCATGGACACATTTCCAGTCTGTCTGGCCTGTGCATTGTAAACATTTGGGAATGGAGCCATGAGACTCTTTCCTCCTTCCGAACTCCCAAGTGCTTCGTCCCTAGGTTTGGGGATTATTATACTCATGGTCAATTCACAAGGGTGGCTGAATGCCCATATTTGTTTGCAAGCCTGGTTTTCTCTGGAGAGACTCCTAGGCACATGTTGATCTGCTTGTGAGGCCATGTGCCTTCCATGTACACTTTATTATTTCTTATGAGCTATGAGAACCAAGTGAAAGTATGATGCTGAGATGCTAGTGAGGGTCTGGGGCAGGTTCTCCCTTGGCAAGGGGGCAAGTTCCAAGGTCCTTACCTACCACCCCACCCCTAGTTATTTCTGTTCCTGCTTCAGCTCACCTGTCACCAGTCTCCATGTCTTTCTAAAAGCATTCTCAGAAGTAAAGTAAATCACACCAACGAAATAAGGAGGCAAACTGCCCAACACTATCTGATAGCAAAATCTGAGTTTTCACGGACTACAACTGAGGATGTTGGTTTCTAGCATGGAGAATTAATGGCAGTTTCACTTTCCTAGACTGGAGGTAAAGGTATTTAGACACATGGCTGCACCACCACACACCTCTGTAGTAGAAGATGCGTTCTGTGTGTTCAGTTCCTTAGGTTGAATCCAGGAAAGGCTGCACAGAGGCAAATAAAGACCTTCCCCAAGCCAGAGAGGTGCTGCTGCAAGCCAGAGTGGGCCGTATTGGGGTAGGCCTGGCTCAGTAGAAGGGGCAAAGCTTGATAGACATGTACAATGTCTCCCGATGGATTGTGTTTTTTTAAAACTTCAACAAAATTGCAGTGGGCTTTCGGGATCCTAACTATGCGTGACATTGTGTTGCTTGCAAGCACGTTATCCCCCCTGCCCCCGCTTAATTTAATTACAGGTGGGGACAATAGATTTGTGCAATTTTTATTTGCATCACAATGCGTGGGGAGGGGCGGTTTAACCCTTCCCTCCTGTCAAAAAAAATCCCCCACCAACCTCATACTGCAGTTAGAAAAACGGTTTCCCTATAGTGCCAATAATAATAAGATTATTTATTTATTTATATCCTGCCCTCCCCAGCCGAAGCTGGGCTCTGAGCAGAATGTGTTTCCAAGTGCAGTTAGGCCCAGAATTTGACCAAAACAGAGTGTATGTGTGTGTCTTTCCTCACAGACCATCTGCCCACTAAATATTATCGCCAGCTACTTTTCTATTTGAAGGAGGAAAGATACATGGACTGAATGCCTTTCTTTCCTGAGGGGGGGGGGAAGCAGCAAGGGAGTGGGATTTTGATTGGGAAAATGGCCCTCAGAGAAAGGGGTTGCGGTCGCTCCAATCATACCCGATTCCCCCCCCCCCCGTCCCCACAGCAACACTGAATTAACAACCAAAGCCATTGAGAGATTCTCCACACACGCACACAGCCTCTCACATCCACATCTAGTTTGGTCTATCGCCCTCAGGAGGCGCCAAGAACATCCCACCACTAATGGCGATTCTGCTGTTGGCCATTTGCTGCCTCAAAAGATAACGGTTAAGACACTCAACCTGGTGTACAGAAATACTATATATTTAAGGAAGGTTTTGCCATTTGACAAATATACATCATAGGTGCTTTCCCCCCATCCAACAGCATGTGCAAGAAAATTTATTCTAGTAGAGCGTCAATCTCTCCCAACCCCCACACCATGGGAAACCCCCCAGCCCAGTCTGAAATGGGGTTTCAAACTAATAGAAAAACAAACAAACAAAAAGAAGCAAGGAAGATTTGCAGCGATACGTACTCTGTCGCACTCACACAAAAAACCCAAACCAAACCGGTGAACAAAATAGCCTATCGTAGTAAAAAAGACTCATTTAAAAAAAATAAAAAAAGAGATTATTTCCGTCTCGGGAAGGGAAAAGACTCATCTGGCAAGTCTATAAGACGCAGCTATTTCGCCTTGCCCGGCTACTTCTGAGCTGCAGGGTGGCCCAGAAACGAGTGTGAAGTGTGAAAATGACCTGCAAGTTCTCAATTGGAGGCTCACGCTTATCACGTAAAGAAGATTCAGAACAGTCTACGGCTGCTTCCTCTTCACTTTGCTGTGTGCAGCGCAGGATGCTGAGAGCTCGCATTCCCCCCCCTCTTCTTCTTTCGCCTTTTCTTCTTTTTCAACCCAAACAGGGTTTGCGCGGAACTTACGCAGAGACCCTTCTCTCGCCGCACGAAGAAACCTAACGGGTTTTGCATGGACAAATCCCCCGATTTTTCAGAACGTTGCACAAAGGGGAAGGGGAGAAGGATGGACGAAAAGGACACAGGATTTCCACCGTGCTCACACAAAGGTGAAATATACCTTCTGGTCCGTGTTTGTGTGTGTGTTTGCGTGCGTGTGTGCATGGAGGGAAATGATAACAGTAATGGGTGAGAAGGCCAATTTTAGAGAGAGAAAAATAAAACAATAGGATGTTGCATGAGTTACAGTGCAACTGTATTATCATTCCACCCCAACCTTTTTCATCACTGTTTCTTTGAAAAAAAAAGAAAAAGAGGATTGAGTACAACACAGTCTGGTATGCGGCCACAAAAGAGTAGCTGTCTTTGGCAAGAAGTCAATGTGCCGACCCTCCCTGTCACCTCCTGCCCATCTCGCTCTGTCTCATGAAATGAATGTTGTTGGCGCTGTCTGAGAGTTCGGGGTACTGCTCCACCGAGATCACAAAGTAGCCGTCGTAGCCCTGAACCCGCCCTGTGCTCAGCAACTGCTGCTTCTCCCCTTCTGTCCAGGAGCGTGTCCCCTCCTCCCCGTCCCGCAGTCTCTGCTGCTCCTGCGCCCAGGCTTGGGCAACCGCTCGCTGCCTGGCCAGCTCCAGCACGCGGGTCTTTTCCTCGTCCAAGGTCGTCCCGTACCGGGTGTTCAGGCACAGTGCTCCGTACTGGAGCTGGATGTCCGTGTAACGTCTAGTCCTTCCGTTGAGCACCGTGTTGATTTGGGAGACGGTGACATTGACGCCGTTCTCTAGGGTCCTCCTGCCGCCGCTGAGGCCCAGGATGGACAAGTCTCCGTCCGACGGCCCTTGCTTGACGAAGTAGTGGGTGTCCACGCCCTCGACGGTGAAGTGCAAGTCGTCTAGGTAGTGGGCGTTGTTGAGTATGGCCGCAACCCTCCGCCCGTCTTCGTTGGCCGTGCTGATGATGTCCGTGGCCACCCTGCCGTCTTTCATGGCGAACTTGACCCCTTTGCCGATGACGGAGCCCCCCGAGGCAAAGTTGTGGTTCTCCTTGGTTTCGTGGCAGCCGGCGATGCTGGAGCTGTAGATCTGCTCAAAGCGCTCCAGGGTGACGAAAGCCTTCAGTTGCTTCTGCACCTCACACTGCACTCCCAGGATCGACTGAGCAAGCAGCAGAGAGAAAAAGAGAGGGAAGAGAGGGGCTCGTGTTAGCGATGGGTGCAGGTTGAGTAAACAACAACAGCAGCGGCAGCAACAACAACAGCTTACAGCGCCTTAAAGACGAACACATTTAGTCTTTATGGCACAGAGTTCCATGAATTAGCTGCAACACTTGTTAATAGACCTCTGGACTTTCCCCGGTTTTTGCTACAGATTAATAATAATAATTTATTATTTATACCCTGCCCATCTGGTTGGGTTTCCCCAGCCACTCTGGGTGGCTTCCAACAAAATATTAAAATACAATAGTCCTTCAGATATTAAAAGCTTCCCTAAACAGGGCTGCCTTCAGATATCTCCTAAAAGTCTGGTAGTTGCTTTTTCTTTGACATCTGGTGGGAGGGTATTCCACAGGGCAGGTGCCACTACTGAGAAGGCCCTCTGCCTGGTTCCCTGTAACTTGGCTTCTCACAGTGAGGGAACCGCCAGAAGGCCCTCGGCACTGGACCTCAGTGTCCGGGCAGAACGATGGGGAGTGGAGGCGCTCCTTTGTTGGCAAGAGCTTCTGGGCTGTTCTGCACAATGTTATCAGGGACCTGGCTGTGATCGTAATTTTAAAACAAGAAAAAAAACCATTTCCCTGTTATCTCAAAACAAGCTCTGTGCCTTTGAAAAGCTGCTTAATTTTAAGATCTAACGACCTTGAATACACCCTTTTAATAATACAGTAATGCATTTGGGAAGAGTGTTTTCTTCCGCGGGAGAAAAACAACACTTGGGCTGTGTGGCTGTGGAAATAAAAAGGAAGGGGCGCAAACAGATTGTGCAGAGTTCAAAGAGACAGAGTACCCTGCCTTTGAAAATTGCTATCCGTTCCATTTCATCTTCTACCAAGTATTCCCCACCCCTTTGCCACTGAATTAGCGAAGACGAGTGGTAGAAAGTGCAACTTGAATGGGAGCTAGCGGGCCTCTGATAATGGGGAAGCTTTCAGCAAACTGTTCAGGTAGAGAGAAATGGTACAAAAAGCCCCCAGAAGTATCGCGGATGGAAAGGAGAGAACTCATGTGCATCAGTCGATAAGAGCACTGAGGGAAAACCTGGGGATGTTGACAGGGAGTCCCAGCTAAACCCTGGGGAAAAGCGACTGTTTTGCTTGGTACAGAAGGAGCATCTGTCAGGACATTAACAGCATGTGTGCAGATTGCCAAAAGTGACTATTAAACGTGGTCGCCACATCTCACAAGGGGAGATCTTTGATCCGGTGAAGGGTAAGTTAAACCACCACTCCCACCCAATATGTTTTGAATGTGGGGGCAAAAGAACCAACTTTCTCCACATGTCGTGGGCGAGTCAAAATACCAACCAATCTAGCTGTGGAGCGGATTGCAGAGGCCATTCTGGCTTCCACGATCCATTTGGCAGAATGGAACCAATTTCAGCCCAGTCACTGCCAAAACCCTGCAGAGTAGATACGGAAGGAAGGAAATGCCATGTTGCTCCTCCTTGGAGACGGCAGCAGTGGTAGGAGAGCATGGCAGTACTTCCAAGTTGGAAAAGAGAGCTACAGTAGTCACATTGCGGTTCACAGTGTAGGGAATTGTGGTTACGTGTTCAATTCCCTCCTTCGCCAGGAGAGCTGGCATTTCACGTGAGACAGTGGACATGTTCGATAACTACCTTGCCGTGGTCAAGAACAAGTTCCAGAGACGATAGCAGAAAAGAAGTATTCATTTCCTCATCAAAAAGCCTAGGAGTCAATTGAATTTTCTGGATTTTTGAGATGGCTAGTGTAGCTTTTGATAGCGATTTAGGCCGAGGCATGCCTGTGCTAACTGAACATAATTTTGTGCACTGGAAGCAACACTTAATAGCGCTTCGAGGTGCAAAATGAGTCCTGGATGCTGCAAAAGGCCCTCACACAGATCCTACTGTAATGGCACGGGGAGGCTGCGGGGGGCTGGAAGGCACGGCCACGGCAGTTGTACATCGGTCTTTTAAGGATAGAGCACTGCTCAGTTTTTATGGCACAGAATTGATCATTCCTACGGCCAGGAGTTAAGCGCAAGAGGCCAAAATGCTAAAGGCTTGCTTACCTGAATGATTTCCTCCTCCCATATACAGTGGACACTCGGATTGTGAACGTGATCCGTGCGGGATGCACGTTCACAACCCGCAGTGTTCACAACCCGCAGCGGCGCTTCTGCACATGCGTGGGTTGTGATTCAGTGCTTCTGCGCATGTGCAAAGCGTGATTTAGCGCTTCTGTGCATGCACGACCGCCGAAACCCGGAAGTAACCCATTCCAGTACTTCTGGGTTTTGGCAGGTGCATAACCCGAAAAAACGCAACCTGAAGCGGCTGTAACCCGAGGTATGACTGTATACCCAAATGAACCAGATATTGTGTATTCATGATTGTCTGTGCTCATGGCAATATTCAGGATGGCTATTCGCGACCCTGCTTTCATTACTGTTTGTGGTAGCAAAAGGGTGGGTGTGGACCCTGTTTCCAACCAGTGCGTGTCCCGTAACTTCCTGCTGAAACCTTGTAACTTTTGACACCACCAGTGCTCTGTTTTCATCCTGCTTCCGTTGCGTAAGAACACCCCTCCAATCCAGTAACACTGGATGTGTGGTTTGGTATAAATCACAAATGCGCTATTATTGTACCCATAACTGTTTGCAAATGAGGTATAGGGGGTAGTGACTAAAGACACAGTCTTTTTAGTGGTGGTGCCCATTTGTCGAATGCCCTCCCTAGAGTGGCTTGCCTGTCACCTCCCAACATTTTGCATCCAGTTATGGCCCTCTCAGTCCCGGGTGAAGATCATTTTAGTTTCCCAGGCTTTTCAATCTTAAAATCTGTTGGTGCTTTAAACATTATTTGCACTACCATTGTTTGGTTTGCATTTTTCTTCTTTACTTTTCAATTTTTTTACTGTAAACTGTCCAGAGAACGTTGGCTATCAGGCAGTATATAAAAGGTTGTAAATGCATAAATATGACTAAGCTTCAGTGCACCTGGAAGCAGTTATGTTTAGATCTGGAGAAGTGGTCGACTTGCTATTTACCCCACTGAACGGGAGGGTAGTTTGTGGAATAATTTAATGACTCCAATAGGGGGCTTTCTAGAAACAGACAGTGGCCAGGTTCCCACATCACATTAAACCATAGTTAACTATAGTATCATGATAAACCAAGGCTGGTGGTTTGTAACAACGCATGGCTCAGCCTGGAGTATGGGAAGAGCAAAACTGGGTCTTTTGAAAATTAAACTATGGCTTACTGTGATGTGTGAACAGTGAGGCAGATTACCTTGCTATTGTCCCATTCTTGAGTCTTCAGTTGGGTGTGGATGAGTTCATAAGACGGCTCCACAGCATCCATGTCTGGCTTAGGATACCCAGGGATGACGTTGTGCAGTTGAAACCCAAATGTGAGCAGCCAGCTGTTGACATCTGGGATGCGATAAATGAGAAACCAAAGGGTTAGCTTGTTCATTATACTTTATTGCCTGTAGGCACCTGGAAAGAAAGTCAGGTAACTTGGAAAGACCTTCCACCCAAAGTATGTGTGTGGGTGGGGGGAAGGAATTGACTATATTTGTTCATGTCTATTCATGCAGTGAAGGGACGCAGGTGGCGCTGTAGGTTAAACCACAGACCCTAGGACTTGCTGATCAGAAGATCGGCGGTTCGAATCCCCACGACGGGGTGAGCTCTCGTTGCTCGGCCCCTGCTCCTGCCAACCTAGCAGTTTGAAAGCATGTCAAAGTGCAAGTAGATAAATAGGTACCGCTCCGGCGGGAAGGTTAACGACGTTTCCGTGCGCTTCTCTGGTTCGCCAGAAGCGGCTTAGTCATGCTGGCCACATGACCCGGAAGCTGTATGCCGGCTCCCTCGGCCAATAAAGCGAGATGAGCGCCGCAACCCTAGAGTCGTCCACGACTGGACCTAATGGTCAGGGGTCCCCTTTACCCTTATTCATGCAATGAATGAGGTGTAAATCTGAAGCTGCACATTTCCTAAGATGTCTATAGTGGCCACACGGCAACTCTACTTTCTCCAGATTTTAGATTGCACAAGTTCGCCAAACGGGAAACAAATACACATCATGCAAGCAGCCTGCTGGCTTGCTTCTCCTTGCTATATTCTCAGAATTCTGTGTTATCTGCTAAAGATTCAGGAGAGGGAAAATCCTTTGCTAGCCATGGAAAAAGCCTTCCTTCTGTGTCTTTGAAAATCTGACAGAGAAGAGGCAATGTTGCTTTTTTATTATTTCATTACCATTAAAATTAAAGCACTTTGCTCTCAACAGCCATTCACTCTCTATATCAATAGCAACAGCGACTAGTTTCTTAATAGCTTTGTGGTGTGATCTTCTAAGTTATGCAGAAATCTACCCTGCTTCTGAGCAGTAGGCTATTATACCACTAGGAATAAGCCAGTGTCATTTATTGGAAGGGATAGAGGACAGGAGACGACATTTTTTAAAGATGTCCGAATGCTCAAAAGACAGTCAGGGCAACATCCCGCCATCACAACGCAGAAGCTTAGTCCTATCATTAAAATCAATGGAACCCCAAAAGAATTTAGGATCTGCCCCAAATATCAATCTGCTGAAAATGAAGCAGTGTTTATTTATCTGTTAAGTAAAAACAGTGCATTTCATAGGACACTGGGTACATTTTGGCTTCCACTCAATTTGGTTCCCTATATGCAGTGGCGTAGCGTGGGGGGTGCAGGGGGGGCTGGCCGCACCGGCCGCAACATCTGGGAGTTAGGGTTAGGGGGCGCAAATCCATGGGTTAGGGGGCGCAAATCCATGGGTTAGGGGGCGCAAATTACTTGCCTTGCCCCGGGTGCTGACAACCCACGCTACGCCACTGCCTATATGTCAGAATGACTAGGGCTTGCCGATCGAAAGGTCGGCGGTTCGAATCCCCGCGGCAGGGTGCGCTCCCGTTGTTCGGTCCCAGCGCCTGCCAACCTAGCAGTTCGAAAGCACCCCCGGGTGCAAGTAGATAAATAGGGACCGCTTACTGGCGGGAAGGTAAACGGCGTTTCCGTATGCGGCTCTGGCTCGCCAGAGCAGCGATGTCACACTGGCCACGTGACCCGGAAGTGTCTCCGGACAACGCTGGCCCCCGGCCTCTTGAGTGAGATGGGCGCACAACCCTAGAGTCTGTCAAGACTGGCCCGTACGGGCAGGGGTACCTTTACCTTTACCTTTTTATGTCAGAATGAATTCATTTTGGGGGCAGAGTAAAGAGCATGGCTATTGGAAACAGGGGTAATAGAAATGTCAACTCAGTCTGCTCTTTCCACACAAGCCAGTCACATAAGCATTCTTTTTCCACTATGAACATAAACTCCGATTAATCCTAGGTATCCTTTGCCAGTTCTCCTTTAGGTGATCTTTTACAACGCTCACAGCAGAATCCTAACATAGGTTTATTCAGAAGTTCCCCCGCATTCAATCAAATCTTATCCACTATAAGTGTGTTTCGAATTGCAGTCTTCATTTCGGAACCATCCACCCAAAATCCCCTCAACTTTAGGGATGGGAGAAATCTGTAAATTGTGGTTTCACCCAGTTTCTCAAATTTCCAATCTTCAGTTCATATTTCCACAACCATTTGCAATTATTATTATTTTTAATTACAGGTGGGTAGCTGTGTTGGTCTGCCGTAGTCAAAACAAAATATAAAAATTCCTTCCAGTAGCACCTTAGAGACCAACTAAGTTTGGTATGAGCTTTCGTGTGCATGGTATCTGAAGAAGTGTGCATGCACACGAAAGCTCATACCAAGAACAAACCTGGTCGGTCTCTAAGGTGCTACTGGAAGGTATTATTTTTAAGGGGTCCTCATGAAAATTCACCATCTAAGTGTGAATTTCTCTTAGCAATTTAGTCTAATACATGTTTGTTGCAAGCAATTTTGTCTTGTAATGCATTTTTGGGATCTTAACTATATTATTATTGATTTTGTTAAGAAGTGCTAACATAAAAAAGAAAGCAAAGAAGACAAAGTACAAAGTACAAAGGTTCAGCACAGCTCCAAAGGAATAAAGTATGGACTCGTGCAAAGATTCCCTCTGCAAATAACAAAGATTTTTAAAAACAACAGCATTCTCCACCTGTGAGTGCCATCATTTTTGAAAATAAAGGTTCCAAAAAGGCTTAGATTAGCCCAGTGGCGTAGCGTGGGGGGTGCAGGGGGGGCCGACCGCACCGGGCGCAACATCTGGGGTTAGGGCAAATCCACAGGTTAGGGGGCGCAAATCCACGGGTTAGGGGGCGCAAATCCACGGGTTAGGGGGCGCAAATTACTTGCCTTGCCCCGGGTGCTGACAACCCACGCTACGCCACTGGATTAGCCAGACATTTGCGTATACTGGTGGCGCTGAACTACTCCATTGAAATGAGACTGTATTTTAATGTTTTAATGTTGTATTTTAATCTTGTTTTAAAGTTGTATTTCAATCAATTTGTTTTTATATTGGGTGTTAGCTGCCCTGAGCCTGGTCTTGGCTGGGGAGGGCGGGGTATAAATAATTTTTTTTATGATGATGATGATGATGAACCTGTGATCCTCCGATGCAAAGCATGCGCTCTACCACTTGAGCTACGGCCTGCCCCCCTCATATACTCCGCCATTCCTGTCTCCGTGTCTTTTGCTTTCAAACCAACTCCCCAAACTGGCTGCATTTTCCCACCCCTCTTTATCTAGCAGGCCATTTCCTCGCTTCAAGTCCTTCGAGACTTGCTGAAATCTTCCCGTGCCACTGAATTCTTCCCTTCCGCATTCCTGCTACTGTTACGTCAGTGTGTTGCGTCTGCAGCGGCGTAGCGTGGGTTGTCAGCACCCGGGGCAAGGCAAGTAATTTGCGCCCCCTAACCTGGGGCAAGGCAAGTAATTTGCGCCCCCTTACCCCTAACCTGCCGCCGCTGCTAGCTTCTTCTTGCTGCTGCCTGGGCTGGGGTATTTACCTTTACCTAGCCACGGCGGCGGCGGCGGGTCCGTGTCAGGTGATCTGAGGCGAGTTGCCGTGGGCGCTGCCGCCCAAACGACGCCGCTTGCCCGGAGGAGGAGGAGGGCAGAGAGGCGAGGAAAATGCAACATGGCCCAGCAGCTGCAGCAGCAGCGGCGGCGGCGGGGCTGTGAGGAGGGGCTGCCTGGTGCGCCCTCCGCGGCGAGCGCTGAGAGCCGCTGCCAGCTCGTCGGTTCCGCGAGACATGGGGCTCTGCTACAGCCTGCGCCCGAGGCTCTTCGGCGACTCTGGAGGCGGCGAGCGCCCCCCCCAGATGTTGCACCCGGTGTGGCTGGCCCCCCCTGTACCCCCCACGCTACGCCACTGTGCGTCTGTCCAGGCTGTGTTATTCCTCCCCCCGAATGCACATTTGCTCCCACCCGCGAATTACTTGCCCCACATTTAATTCCGCAGCGACTCTGGTGGGAGTTTGGTCAAAGGCTGCCGTCTCTCTGCTCTGGCCTATATTTAAGGCACATGATACTTGTTTTTCCTCCATCCCTTAAGTAGCGCTTCTCATGGCTGAATTAACACTTAATCGCATTGTTATTTTTAAAAGGCTTGATAAAAAGGTCATGATTAGAAAGGACTCAGCCGCTGCTCTCCTGGAGCGAGCCTCCTTAATGCAGTTTATTTAGATGCAATTTTGAATTTGGGCTGCCAGCTGATGCACACACGGATACCTCTGTGCAACTGATAGGAAATTAGGAGAACATTAATCATCCTTTAATCTGCAGGAAGGGGATTATCGGGTCTGGCTGAGTCCCTTGCAAAACGGAGAGCTTTGCAGTGGGACTTCGCAAAACCCAGCAATCAGCTGATTGTCAGGCCGTGAGGAGTCCCTTGCAAAATGCTTTGCAAGACCCGTGTGGACAAGCAAAGGTCACTTGACCCCTGCCCACTTGGCCTTCAAGACCAGATCCAGCCCCCTTCCACGTGAAGGACTAAAAAGGGGGAGAGGGACCCTTTTTGCACGTTGGCTTAAACTACCGGAGTGGGTTTTTGATACAACCAAGCTAGGGAAAGTCTAGTGTCTATTGTGTCCTCTCTGGCAACCTCTAGGTTATATTACTGCAGCAAATTATATGTGGGGCTGCCTTTGAAGATGGCTCAGTAACTGCAGCTGGTGCAAAAATTGGCACAATATGGTCTGAACATATAACACCAGTTTGGGCACAACTGCGCTAGCTTCCAATGAGTTTCTGGGCTCGCAACGAGGTGCTTGTTTTGAACTATAAAGCTATAACAACAACAACAACAACAACAACAACAACAACAATAATATATTATTTATACCCCGCCCATCTGGCTGGGCTTCCCCAGGCACTCTGGGCGGCTTCCAACAAAATATTAAAATACAGTAATGCATCAAATATTAAAAGCTTCCCTGGGCTGCCTTCAGATGTCTTCTAAAAGTCTGGTAGTTGTTCTCGTTGACATCTGGTGGGAGGGCGTTCCACAGGGCGGGTGCCACTACCGAGAAGGCCCTCTGCCTGGTTCCCTGTAAATTGGCTTCTTGCAGTGAGGGGACTGTCAGAAGGCGCTCGGAGCTGGACCTCAGTGTCTGGGCTGAATGATGGGGGTGGAGACGCTCCTTCAGGTATACTGGACCGAAGCCGTTTAGGGCTTTAAAGGTCAGTACCAACACTTTGAATTGTGCTTGGAAACGTACTGGGAGCCAATGTAGATCTTTCAAGACCAGTGTTATGTGGTCTCGGCGGCCGCTCCCAGTCACCAGTCTAGCTGCCGCATTCTGAATTAGTTGTAGTTTCCGGGTCACCTTCAAAGGTAGCCCCACATAGAGTGCATTGCAGTAGTCCAAGCTAGAGATCACTAGAGCATGCACCACTCTGGCGAGACAGTCTGCAGGCAGGGAGGGTCTGAGCCTGCATACCAGATGGAGCTGGTAAACAGAACCCCAACACCTCAAGGAAGGACCATCTCTTCCCACTTGAACCCAGACCCTGCATTCATCATCCGTGTGCCCCCTTTGAGGGAGGTGAGGACTCATAATCTTGCTCCAGTGGTCCTTGTGGGCATTTCCCATCCGCCATGAGTAGGACTGTGCCCAAGTTAACCCCTGCCATACCCCTGCCTGAAACTTGAGAGAGCTGCAGTCAAGTATAGATGATTCTGAGCCACACTGGTCAAAAGCCAGCTTTCTAAAATTATTAAGTTGTTTATGATGAACAGGCGGCTCGGACAGCGTCTGTCCTCTTCCAGCTCACCTAAGTCAGTTCTACTTGGTTTTTGGAAATGAGTTCTGCTTGTGCAGTGGGACTTCCTCCATCTCCTCCCTCTGTGTGCCCTGTGCACCCCCTGAATAGGCTCTGGAGGGCCTGGGAGAAGCCCCAGATCATGTTTAGGGGGCACGGGAGAGGAGCGAGTGGAGGGAAGTCCTGTTTCATGGGTGGACCTTGTCCCCTATGCATGTACGCCACTTAGTGCTACCCCTTTGATTCCCCTCCTCAGTCCTTACACCTTGAATGTTTTTAGATGCGACAGAGATTTGCAGTCCTTTATAGTGTTTTCTGCTATAAACCAGTTTGCACAAGTTTGTGGAGTGTTTAAATCGAAGGTTTCCACCTAGCTAACTGACCTGAGAGAATAAAAACCTCTGCACGAATCAATGTACCTTGTTATAGGGAAGTTTTCAATGTTTTATTGTGTTTTTAATATTTTGTTGGGAGCCGCCCAGAGTGCCTGGGGCAACCCGGTCAGATGGGTGACATATAAATAAAATAATAATAATAATTAATAATAATAATAATAATAATAATAATAATAATAATAAATTGCTTTAGATACTCTTCCTTAGCAAGCTAAAGAAACATTGCTTCTTTTCTATCTAGCTACCATGCGACAGTTGAAACAAATCAAGTAGAGTGAGAGATTCAGCTTTTAACTCAAAAGTATAGAACCGTATATTAGCTGCTCTTCCCAATGAAGTAAAAAATAATTCGGGAGAAACTGAAAATACCTGGGTGCAGATTTTAAAACTGGCATTGTTTTTAAGAGACGCATAGTCAAATACGGTGCAACTGAACTGACTGGTGGACTCGAGGCCAGCCGGACTGGCCAAAAATGAACCTTACCTGTCATGTAGCACTTGATATCCTGAGAGTTACTGATAGGATTGTTATTCTTGAACATGTAGAGACTGAAAGGCATTATATTGCTGCTGCTGAGACGTTTCCAAATGTCGTGGTCCGGGCTGGTCCACCGGCCGGCAAGCACATCATAGTCTCTCTTCCCCATGTGTATCAGTTTGGTGAGGGGGTCGTAGAGGCCTCCATGGTAGCCGATGATGATCTGGAAGTTTGGGTTGGTGTCAGTGTAGATCTCCCCATAAGCCGTGTACAGGATCTGCTTGATCATAAGGCCCGTCCCACTGAAGACGGCCAGAGGAGTCCCAATGTTGTCGCAAGCGATGTAGAACTCGTCCCCGCTGCTGAGCTCCATGGCAAAGAGGTGGCCCTGCAGGTCGTAATAGAGGGACGTTATCTCAGAGCTGGAGTGGTTGTACAGGTGGGTGACTTTGGTGGGGTTGGTGAGATCCGCGTAGAAGAACTGCAGGTGGTGGCCGTGGGCCGTTTTGCTGGAGACTCTCCTCCCAAGTCCGTCATAGCGGTACTTCACGCTCCAGCCACTGGCTTTGTTGTACGCCTTGATGAGCAGCCCTGCGGAGTTGTACTCGAAAACATCGTTCCCTCTTTGTCTCAAGAAGCCGTCTTCGTCCATCTTATATTGCACGTCCCCCAGCCTCGTGATCCTGTCCCTGAGGTCATACCTCAGAGGCGTGAGGCGGGCGCTGTTGCCGGGACTCAGCAAATGGAGATTCCCGTTCAGGTCATAGCTGTACCGCCAGAGCGGCTTCTCGTTGATCGACACAGTCTGCAGCTGCCCGTCGGCATCGTACTCGTAAGAATACCTCGTCGTGTTTGCGTACGGGCCGACCTTCAGCTCCTTCTTCACCACCCTCCCCATGTTGTCGTACTGCACCGTCATCCAGTACATAAGGGACCTGAATATCTCGTACTGCACTTCCTTCATCCTGCCGTAAGCGTCAAAGTGTTTCGTGTGAGTCATGACGGCGGTGGTGATGATCTGGTTGATGTCGTAGTAGATGACCCCAAACTTGCCGAACTGCTCCGTCTTGCCCGACACGTCGTCGTACCGGTAGAGGTCGATGGGCAACGGCGTCTCGTTGATCACCGCTTGCATGCTGGTCACCCGGAAGCTGTTGTCGTAGTTGTAATCAAAGCGGGCGTTCACCATGCCTTCCTCCGTGAAGCGGAAAATCTGCCGGTCAATGAGGGGCCCGATCTGCCGGTACCGGATGGTGCAGGTGAACCCTTCGTTTTGCAGGTTTATGGTCTTCAGCATGCCGGCGGTTTCGTCGTAAGTGAAGCTGATCTTGGTGGTGTCATAGAGCATTTCGGCCAACTTGGACAGCTTGCCGTACTTGTAGATGACCCGCCTCCCTGTCCCCAAATGATAGGTGTGGAGAAGCTGCCGCTCCTCGTTGAAGTCCTGAACGACTGAGGCATTTCCCTCGGGGGGCCTGTAGATGTTCCGGTAGTAGCCGATGGAACGGATTGTTTCAAAGGTCTGTCGGGCTACGTTGGGCATGGTCACCGACGACAAGCGGTCGTTCTTATCGAACTCGAAAATGTACTGCCTCTGGCTGTGGAGAAGCAGCACCATGGACTGTAACCAAGAGAGAAAGCAGTTATTATCCTTCATTTTACAGCCGTTGGAAATCTGAACTTTCTCAAGCAATGAAATTCTTTACTGGCACTGGGGGGCATTCAGTGTAGCGCTATGGCAATCGCTCCATCAGCTCAAGAATTTAGCTTGCCAGGCGGAATGACCCCCCACCAGGTGTACTAATTTTTTGGGTGTGTCTGTCCCTTGGCAGAATTTTGCTAGCAGGATTTGTTGAGTTGGATCTGGTCCATTATTTTAATTTTAATTATCATTTGCAATTCTGCCTCTTTTAGAAATAGTGCCCCCTCCCCCTGAAATTTCTGTAATCAGGGCAGGGGAAGTACACTTGAAGACTGAAACATCGGAAAACGCCTTGCAGTCTCCTATTCTGTGGTACTGATAGCTTACTTCCTCCTGGTGCCCCTGTAATAAAAAAATTGGTGGATGTCAGGGCCTGGCTGGACGACGAGGAGTGATGGGAGGAGCCAGCTGGAGAACCCCTAAGGGAAGCCCCAGAGAAGGAGGGCTCAGAACCCAGAGGTTTGTGGTGGGATGCAGAGGAGAGGTCAGAAGGGAAAGATTAGGAAGAGGTGCTGGATACTGAACGGACAACAGGGTTCAGTGAGCAGGAGGAGCCTGTGACAGGGAGCAGTTCAGACTCTGTGGCTGAAGCAGAGGAAGGGGGTGGGGCCAAGGGACTGCTCAAGACTCGTGGGAGTCTCCTTCGCTGGATGCAACAAGTTCTCTTCCCCCTGGTCTCCAAAAAGGTGCAGGACAACAAGGAGAGCAGAACAGAGCCCGGAGGTGCGCAGACACAGTTTGAGACTGCTTGGGAAACATCTGGGAAAGGAGAAGTCTTAGGAGGGGATGGAAGGCAGGGGCCCACAGTCCTGGCAATTGCTCTATGTGGGTAAGACCTAGTGGGAAGGGTTGCTGAGTTGTATGCCGTTTCCTTGAACAAAGAAGACACGGACAAAAGACTCTGCTTCTTTGTGCTGACCTGCATCTGACTCCAGTCCTGACAGAGGAGCAATAGATAGCTCCAGTTTCCTGAGGGGTAGCTGTGCTGGTCAGCAAAACCAGTAACGTGTCTTGTAGTACCTTAAAGAACAATGACTGTATCCAATGTAGCACTAAGTAATTCATTAGTGCAATGATTTATTGCTGCGTAATGGAGCTTCTTCCCCCATTCACTTTTCTCTGTGCGCACTCAGTGCCTTGCCCAAATCTGCTCCAGGGGGTGCACCGGGTGGGGCAAGGAGAGACAGGGAAAATTCTGTTGCACAACTGTAAACCCTTGGATTAGCTGGATACCATAGCAACAAATTAATTATGGCATAAGCATTCGTGGACTGGAGTCCACTATCATCTGACGAAGTGGGCTCTAGTCCATGAAAACTTATGCCATAATTAATTTTTCAGTCCTTAAGGAGCCACAAGACTCTATTATTGATAGATCCAGTTTCTGAAACAACAAAAATCCCCTGTTAAACTCCACCGCTGAACGCTAAACAGCCCAGAATTCTGTGAGAAGAGGGAATTGCTATGCTCAAAATTAAGAATAATGTGGATTTACTTGTCGACAAAGCGGGCTGGTGTCTTCTTGGCTCATGTGGGATATGAGAGTGGTGCTACTGCGACCAACTCCAGAATCCCCAAGACTATGCTGCTTAAGACTAAATTTCAGGGTCATGTACATGAGCTGTTAGAATAATTAAATGGGGGTAAAAATGATGAATAGGAGAAAACATAAATCAAGGGATGTGGTGTTCAAAACACCTTTAGCTGAGATTTCTGCATTGCAGGGGGTTGGACTAGATTACTTTGGGGTCCCCTACAGTTCTATTACTCTACACAGGCTACAAGTTTAGCAGCATCTTTTTACAGGCGGCCCTCACCTTCTCCAAGTAGGTGTAGCTCCAAGATTTGCCATCGGCAAAGATTCTGGATGTAATCCTGCCGGACTGGTCGTATTCCATCCTTTCCGACATGGTTCCCCTTTGGATCCCAGCGATATGTCCTCCTGCGGAGTAAGTTACGTTGACTCCGTTCAACCTGCTGCTAGGAGACCAAAGCGTGGGCCGGCCGGCTTGGTCGTAAAGGATCCTCAGGGTGAACTTGCGGTGGTCATCGTAGATCTTCTCTGTCCTCGTCACGCGGTCAAAGTCTAACGACAGCAAGTTCCTGTTATGAACCTGCAGCAGAGAAAGGGGAAGAGCGAAGCATCAGAACTGAACAGAAAGCTGGAGGGTGAGCTACTCTGCAAAGCAACCAAGTCTTCTTCAGGGTTACAATTTCTGGATTTGAGTTTCTTTTTTTGCAAGCAACTCCAAGGGGTCTCTGACAAGTTCCAAGACCCTGGATGCTGTTCAAATCAAGTTTTAAGCAAAGAACACCTACCGAAATGAATGGACCTAACTTAGTCATGTCCACTAATTTCAATGGTTCTGCTCCTGAGTAAAATTTAGTTGCTGGCCACCCACAGCAAGAGAACAGGAAGGACAATAAAACGAATCTTCACACGCAGCTCAGTTGCTGAATAGAGGAATTAAGGCCGCAATCCTATACACCAGCCTTACTCAAGTTGGAGCCTTCCAGATGTTTTGAACTGTAACTCCCATCAGCTCCCATCATTCATGACAATAGGCTGTGCTGGCTGTGCTGGGATGATGTGAGTGGTAGGGATGCGAGTGGTAAGTTTGGGAAAGGCTGCTATACACAATTACCTGGGAGTAAGCACTACTGAACTCAGTGGTTAACCTCACTCTTGTATCATAGACTTATAGAGTTGGAAGGGACCATAAAAAGGTAAAGGTACCCCTGCCCGTACGGGCCAGTCGTGTCTGACTCTAGGGTTGTGCGCCCATCTCACTTAAAAGGCTGGGGGCCAGCGCTGTCCAGAGACACTTCCGGGTCACGTGGCCAGTGTGACGAAGCTGCTCTGGTGAGCCAGCACCAGCGCAGCACACGGAAACGCCGTTTACCTTCCCGCTATAAAGCGGTACCTATTTATCTGCTTCCACTTAGGGGTGCTTTTGAACTGCTAGGTGGGCAGGAGCTGGGACTGAAAGACGGGTGCTCACCCCGCCGCGGGGATTCGAACCGCCGACCATACGATTGGCAAGTCCTAGGCACTGAGGTTTTACCCACAGCGCCACCCGCGTCCCTAAGGGACCATAAGGATAATCTAATCCAGGGGTCAGCAACCTTTTTCAGTCGTGGGCTGCTCCATCATCCCTCAGATCAAGTGGTGGGCCGGACTATATTTTGGAAAAAAAAGTGAACAAATTTCTATGCCCCACAAATAACCCTGATCTAATCTAATCCCCTGCAACGAAGGAATCAATTTGCCCAAAGTCCGTAGGACCTGAACCCTGAGATTAAGACCCTTATGCTGTCCTCAACTACTTCTTTATTAAAATAAACAACTCATCTATAGCTGCGTTTCGGTTAAAAAAACAACAACCCACTTTTTAGAGATCCAGCAGCTCAGGTATATTAAGTATAAATGAATTAATGAATGGATATTAAGGAATCACAAATCTCTCGGTGCAAATGTGGTTTGGCCCCAAAGACGTTTTAAGGTAGGAATTCAACAGACAGTTGACAGAACTGTTTGTAGACATCTTTGTAACACCAAATTGGTCTGCCTACGGGCCTGAAGCCCGTAGAGCACGTCTTTGGGGATCCTTGTCCTTGTGTGATTGCTTTTAATTTCCATGAGATCCTTGTCCATTCTGTGGACAAGACCAAGCCAGGGGAGACGTCGCTGAGATAGGAGTGAGAACATGCTAGGAATGTGGTCTTGGGACATAATTCTACCCTGCTATGTTCAGCTAGGCATTTAATGGCTGAAATATACCATTGCTAGTAATCTTGCAATTATAAGGTATGGGAACGTGTGATTGCTTTTGATTTCCCCGAGTTTTTATTTTAATTTATTGTTGCGTCACTTATGCGTTTGCTAGCCTGGGCTACCTTGGAAGGAAGGGAAAGATATAAGTTTGATAAACAAATGGCCCCTTGTAATAAGAGCTCATATCCCGGGCATACTGGGTCACAATTGCAAGGCAAAAATCATACGACCACTGCGGAAATTTCAGCACCAAATATGTGGAGTGTAGCAAGCTCTCTGCAGCGTGACTGTACACCGTGTGAAAGGTTGTAAAGGCAAGGTTAGGACACTCTACTTAGCCAAGCCGCAGCTTAACAGTTGGCAAGGTAATCTCCGTAGTGCTGCTGGGATCTATGGTGCAATCTGTCATTGTGACAACCACCTTTGCTGTCTCCCCACCAGAATCCCAAAGACAGACCTCCCGTTTTAAGCACGTCCCAGGTTAAATAACCAAAGTGAATGTATCAGACTGCAAAGACACCAGTCTGCGCAACCTAAGCGATGGGCCGTTTTTGCACAGCTATTTGCGGAAGTTTGCATTTGTGCGAAGATTGTGGCATTATCCGGAGCGGTGTAGTATAGCAAGTTTTTTCGATCCAAGGGTGAGTGTGTGTCCGGCGAGTGACTGCTGGCTATGGATTTTTAACACTGCTGAAGAGCGGGGCTGATCAATCTGTAATAGCCATAGGACCAATTAGAGGTCTAGAATGTTACGACAGCTAGAGGGCCATTGAAAGGTGTTGGCCTGCGAGGTGCTGTAAGAGGATGCAGACACTGATCAGTGGGCTACGGAAACCAGGAAAAGGATGGAGTCCGTGAACAAGGCACAAGATGCAAACTCTCTCTCTCTCTCTCTCTCTCTCTCTCTCTCTCTCTCTGTGTGTGTGTGTGTCTCCTTTTGTGTGACTCCAAAGGTTCTCCTGGTCCTAATGATACTGTCTGTCCAAGTAAGAATCCTTATTTGGACACAAACATCTTGTGTTCTACAGTGGACGCTCGGGTTTCAAAAGTGATCCATGTGGGATGCACATTCGCAACCCGCAGTGGCACGTCTGTGCACGCGCGGGTTGCAATTTGATGTTTCTGCATATGTGCAAAGTGCGATTTAGCACTTCTGTGCATGCGTGACCGCCGAAACCTGGAAGTAACCCGTTCCGGTACTTCCAGGTTTTGGCGGTCCGTCACCCGAAAAAAACGCAACCTGAAGCGTCTGTAACCCGAGGTGTGACTGTATAGGAAGGATGCTCAGCAATGTATTTCTAGGGCAAATGGTACCCGGGGAAGCCAATAAATTTTTGGGGGGCCTCCAAGAGAGTGGGGCCCTAAGCTATAGCTTGTTTAGCTTATACGTAAATCCAACACTGGGCCAGTCGCACTGCCTATCAACCTAACCTACCTTAAGGGGTTGTTGTATGGGGACTAAAGGGGAAACTACGGCATGTATGTATGCCACCTTGAGCTTGTTGGGCTGGAAACGCAACAAATAAGTAAGCATCAATACCAGTTTCTTATTCCTCATGGTGATAAAGGTGATGTTGGGGACTGAACCTACAATGCACAGCTTTTCCCACTCACCCTCAGCCTGCGCCCGAAGACGGTGATCTGACCCCTGGCCTGCTCTTTGCGCTGCCTCCACTCAACCAGGTTGAGACCATTGTCAATGGGGAGGGTGACATTCCTCTTCCCCACTGTAGGGTTAACTGTGCCGGCCAGAAGATGAGGCTCAGTCTGCAGGGCCACCTCCATGCCGTTAGCCAGGATGAGCCGCAGGGAGCCATCTGCGCCAATGTAATAGCTGTTTCGCACCTGATCTGTAAGAAAGAGGATGGGGGGGGGGAGAGAGAGTGATCCAGAGTGCTGAAACTCAGCTGCTGAAGTCATGTAAATAATAATAATAATGATAATAATAATAAATTTATTTATACCCCGGCCAGAGCTGGGCTCAGGGCAGCTAACACCAATAAAATCACAGTAAAAACATAATAGGGGAAAAAGAGAGGGGGGGGAAACAACCAATTTAAAATTCAGGTTAAAATGCAATTTAAAATGCAGCCTCATTTTAAAGTAGCCAATAAATCAAGACCATAAGGGGAGGGAAACATAAGGGTCAGACCGAGTCCAAACCAAAGGCCAGGCGGAACAGCTCTGTCTTGCAGGCCCTGCGGAAAGATGTCAAGTCCCGCAGGGCCCTGGTCTCTTGTGACAGAGCGTTCCAGCAAGTCGGGGCCAGTTGAGACCAATCTAACCTCCTTGAGGCTCAGGACCTCCAAAGTGTTGTTATTTGTGGACCTTAAGGTCCTCCGCGGGGCATACTAGGAGAGGCGGTCCCGGAGGTACGTGGGTCCTAGGCTGCATAGGGCTTTAAAGGTCAAAACCATGAGGTTTAAACCAGGGAAGAAGAAGAACTGGGCTGTAGGCTCAGTGGCAGAGCAGCTGCTATTCTGGTTTAATCCCTTGCACCTCAAGGTTGGGTTGGGAAGAAAGCTCCACCTGGGGATACGGATAAGGTCCATTATCTGACTGTTGACTCAGGACACTAAACTGTGCTTTTCTATTTAATTTTCACTTTCTTCTGTGTATATTGTAATGTTCTCTTGCTGCTATGGCCATTGGCTGAGGTGAATAGAGTTTCTATTCTGTTCTAAACCTCCACCTGAGACTTCAGAGAGCTGATGCCTGTCAGCATAGACCAGGCTTTCCCAAACGTGGGTCTCCAGTTATCGGATCAACATCATCTCTAGCTAGCCATCTCTAGATGAACCATATCCTGACTCAGTATAAGATATTGTTACAAGAGCTCATGGGGTTCCAGGCAGGCATTCGCCCAAGTTCTGTGTTCCTTTGGAGAACTGAAGACACGGCAGAAACTGTCGTTGCTTTAAGAAATATGCTTTATTCACCTATTTGCACCTTCAGCCTGAATGGAGGGGGTCCAGATCTTACAGCATGGTCATTTCAAGAGGGGCTACTGCAGTGCAGCCCTGAAGTCAAAAGCATCTCTCCCAGCCAGCCTTCAGCCAGCCTGCCCAAGATGAATCTAAGTCTTTCTTCTTCCTTCTTCTTCCCAGTAAAGATAAAGGGACCCCTGACGATTAGGTCCAGTCGTGGCCGACTCTGGGGTTGCAGCGCTTATCTCGCTTTATTGGCCGAGGGAGCCGGCGTACAGCTTCCAGGTCATGTGGCCAGCATGAACTAAGCCACTTCTGGCAAACCAGAGCAGCTCAGGGAAACGCCGTTTACCTTCCCCCCAGAGTGGTACCTATTTATCTACTTGCACTTTGACGTGCTTTCGAACTGCCAGGTTGGCAGGAGCAGGGACCGAGCAATGGGAGCTCACCCCGTCACGGGGATTCGAACCGCCGGCCTTCTGATCGGCAAGTCCTAGGCTCTGTGGTTTAACCCACAGTGCCATTCACGTCTCTCTTCTTCCCAGTACACCTTCCTAAAAATTCTCTTTTCCTGTCACCTTACACCCAGTTACCCTGGCAACCTTCCAAACACCCAGTCTCTGTTTACACCTCAGGGCAAAAGAGCAGGACACTCATCTTGCCTTGCCATTGGCTCTCAATGGCCCCATATTGTTTCTTACTGGACCCCAGGCTTGGCCAAGTCATTTTGCATAGGCTAGCTCAAGAATTCCTGTGCAGCTAGTATTTCCCCCTTCACTTCCCAAATCACCAAAATCCTACCATTTCTTAATTTCTAGGGTTCTGTGACAATATTTTCTAGGGTTCTATAACAATATTTTCCTGTGTTGCTTTTTCATTATTAGAATTAATATGGGAGAATTACTTAGTGCCCAACCAATTGCTAGTTTCAGGTTATATGAATACAGCAGTATTCAAACTGCTTTTCAAACTGCTAGAATTGTCTCAGAGTTATTTATTACTGCTCTTGTGCCTTTAACAAGCTGTAAAACAGGCAGAAATTCAGTAGGTGAAGCTATACATTTCTCCATGTTAGAAGGAGCATCCCCTGTTAAATTTCAGTCTCTCAGGTTGATGTTAAAAAGCCCAAGGTCTCGCTGCCTGTTCACATGCGTTTATGTGTAATTAAGATTTTTTTGCCCCGATATGCATCGCTTTACCCCCCCCTTTTTTTACATTGCATGGCATTTGTGATTTTTCCAGGTGAAACTACGGGGTTTGCCTTGCCCAACCCACCCCGCTCTCCAGTCCTGGAGCTGGTGCTGATTTAGAATGATGTACCCTTATAGTTGTGCTGAGCTGCCGAACACGGAGATGCTTGACCACAAGACAATTATTAGACCCTCACCCCCAGATGCATAAATCTCAGCAAATCAATTAATTCCCCGAAGAGCCCCGAGCAGCAGCTACTGTGGCTTAATTAGACTCCTGAGGAGGCGCTAAATTCCCTTCCCAGCGTTTGCCAGACATCTGAACGCTTCTAAAATCCGGCTGGTCCAATTAGAAATGGGCTTGATTTGTCTACATGACAGGGAAACTTATGGGGCTGTAATATAATCCGGAAAGGGCAGGTAACAGTTCCATCTCCTTTGCCAGGCATAACCAATGTGTTGTTCCTGGACTCCCAGCTCCCATCACCCCTGACCCCCTGGGGCTGATGTGATGGGAAGTCCCAGCAAGATCTGGAGCAGCGGTTCTCAACCTGTGGGTCCCCAGATGTTGTTGGACTACAACTCCCATCATCCCTGAGCTCTGGCCTTGCTAGCTAGGGGTGATGGGAGTTGTAGTTCAACAACATCTAGGGACCCACAGGTTGAGAAAGGCTGATCTGGAGGGCCAAGCGTTTCTCTTCTATCTGGATCACAGCCTTAGCAAAAATCCAAGTACAGTGGTACCTCGGTTTACGAACTTCATCCGTTCCGGAAGTCCGTTCTTAAACCGAGGGGCGCTTTCCCTAATGAGGCCTCCCACCGCCAACATTCGGATTCCATTCTTAGACCAAGGTAAAGTTCTCATACCGGGACACTATTTTCGGTTTTGTGGAGTTTGTAAATGGAATCGTTCTTAAACAGGACTGTTCTTAAACTGAAGTACCACTGTATTAAGGGACACGGGTGGCGCTGTGGGTTAAACCACAGAGCCTAGGACTTGCCGATCAGAAGGTCGGCGGTTCGAATCCCCACGATGGGGTGAGCTCCCATTGCTCGGTCCCTGCTCCTGCCAACCTAGCAGTTCGAAAGCACCTCAAAGTGCACCGCTCCGGTGGGAAGGTAAACGGCGTTTCCGTGCGCTGCTCTGGTTCGCCAGAAGTGGCTTAGTCATGCTGGCCACATGACCCGGAAGCTGTACGCCGGCTCCCTCGGTCAATAAAGCGAGATGAGCGCCGCAACCTTAGAGTCGGCCATGACCGAACCTAATGGTCAGGGGTCCCTTTGCCTTTTACCACTGTATTATGCACAGAATAAATGAGAATATAAATTCAGTGTGGTTTTCCTTGGTGCAGAGCTGGGCTGTTTGTTTTGCATGAAGTTGTCCTAACCCCATTCCCTGTCCCCGATGACGATCTCTATGCTATGATAACAACAGCAAGGACACTGGAAGACTTTTGTCTTGAGAGAAGAGCTGGCAAACAAGGAAGCAGGCTGAACTCCCAACAGAAAACAGCTGCAGTACCACAACAGGCCTGGCAAGGGCTCCGCTCCTTAATTAGGTGCGAGTGCGCGCCAATCAGCAAAGGAAAGCATTAGAAGGCGCCAGGATATGGGGGTCTCATGGTGCTGGGATTACCACGATGAGGTCTGTTTCCTGCTGCATAATCCAGTCTGTGCCGCTCAGCCCTTCCCAGCCCTTGCCAATAGCTGCAGAGCGAGATGACGATTCGTTATCTGAACGAATTTGTGTTAATGGCCTGACTTATCTCCGAGACTCTGGGGAAGTTACAGAAATAGTTTCGGCTTTACATTAACGCTCACCCCGGCCCCCGGAAAGGGATTCATACCAGACCTTCAAGCAAGCTCATAGTTGTAGGGTGGAGGAGGTGGAAAGATGTAGGGGGCTTCCCCCCCCCATCCACCGGCACACCCTAGAAAATTGTATACAGTTTAATTCTCCCTTTCCCTTCTGCAGATTCGGTTCGCGTTCCTTTTGGTCAGGGGTCAGCAAACTTTTTCGGCAGGGGGCCGGTCCACTGTCCCTCAGACTATATTTTGAAAATATAAATGAACGAATTCCTATGCCCCACAAATAACCCAGAGATGCATTTCAAATAAAAGCACATACAGTGGTACCTCAGGTTACATACTTCTCAGGTTACAGACTCTGCTAACCCAGTAATAGTGCTTCAGGTTAAGAACTTTGCTTCAGGATGAGAACAGAAATCGGGCTCTGGCGGCGCGGCAGCAGCAGGAGGCCCCATTAGCTAAAGTGGTGCTTCAGGTTAAGAACAGTTTCAGGTTAAGAACGGACCTCCGGAACGAATTAAGTACTTAACCCGAGGTACCACTGTATTCTACTCATGTAATAACACCAAGCAGGGCCCACAAATAACCCAGAGATGCATTTGAAATAAAGGGACACATTCTACTCATGTAAAAACATGCTGATTCCTGGACCGTCTGCAGGCCGGATTTAGAAGGCGATTGGGCTGGATCCGGCCCCCGGGCCTTAGTTTGCCTACACATGCTTTTGGTGCTAGTAGCTGAGCACCCGTGCTTGAAATCTGACGAGTAAAATTGCGGGTGGGCACAGTCTGATATACTGTATTTTTCGCACCATAGGACGCACCGGACAATAGGACGCACCTTGTTTTAGAGGGGGGAGAACAAGGGAAAAAAATTCTTCCGCTCTCTGCCCAGCACCCCTTCAGCGAAGCGGCAGGAGGCGCTGCGCAGAGAGTGGGAGAATTTTCCCCCTCTTGTTTTCCCGCTCTAAAACAAGGTGCGTTCAGGCGGCTACCTTGGAAGCCTGGAGAGCGAGAGGGGTTGGTGCGCACCGACCCCTCTCGCTCTCCAGGCTTCAGGTTCCTTTCGACCTGCTCTTTGGGGCTGGCGGGGGGAAGCCCACCACCAGCCCCAAAGAGCAGGTATGGGAGCAGCGGAAAGGCGCAGCAGAGAGGCTCCTGCCATAGGCACGCGTCAGCTCTCCAGCCGGGAGAGGGTCGCAGGGCTATGGCGTCTTCGCTCCATAGGACGCACACACATTTCCCCTTCATTTTTGAAGGGGAAAAAGTGCGTCCTATAGAGCGAAAAATACGGTAAATGGACTCCCTTGCCCAATTGATCCCTGCACTCTGCATGAGAGGGCTCCTGCTGATAACCATCTTATCAGGAGGTCTGTGGCCCCTTCCCCCTTGGAATTCCCTCTCATTACATACTGAAGAGGAGCTGCCTTTGTTGTCGTTTCAGTGCCTATTGAGACCTCCCTCTTCCAACAAGTGCACTTTGCTCAAACTATTTTTAACTGCTCTTGTATACAGAATTCTTTTGAAATGTTTTATATGTGGAACTGTTTTTACACTTTCCTTGGTTATTGTTTTTTGGTTGCAACTGTTGTTTTTGGTTTATATTGAGTGGCACCTGTCTGTCTCATATCCTCCAACACCTCTCCAATGAAAATAGGGATGTCTTATTCAATAACAAGGGACATGGGTGACGCTGTGGTCTAAACCACTGAGACTCTAGGGCTTGGCAATCAGAAGGTCGGCGGTTCGAATCCCCGCAATGGGGTGAGCTCCTGTTCCTGTGTCCCAGCTCCTGCCAACCCAGCAGTTTGAAAGCATGCCAGTGCAAGTAGATAAATAGGTACCACTGTGGCGGGAAGGTAAAAGGCGTTTCCGTGTGCTGCTCTGGTTTTGGTGTTCTGTTGCGCCAGAAGCGGCTTAGTCATGCTGGCCACATGACCTGGAAAAACTGTCTGTGGACAAATGCCGGCTCCCTTGGTCAGTAAAGCGAGATGAACGCCGCAACCCCAAAGTCATCTGTGACTGGACTTAACTGTCAGGGTTCCTTTACCTTTTTATTCAATAATAATAATAATAATTACTAATATTTATACCCCTCCCATCTGCCTGGGCTGCTTAAGCCACTCTGTGCGGCCTCTAACATATAAAAAAACACAATAAAACATTAAAAATAAAAAACCTTCCCTATACAGGGCTGCCTTCAGATGTCTTCTAAAGGTTGTATAGTTACTTATCCCCTTGGCTCGGGGGTCAGATAACTCCATACCCTCCAATATTTCTCTGATGGAAATAGGGATGTCCTAAAAAAAGTGGGACATTCCGGGATCAAATCAGAAACCAGGATGGCTTCTGTAAATCCAGGACTGTCCCCGGAAAATAGGGACATTGGAAGGTCTGCAGAGACAATGGGAGAATGCACCTTCAGGGGTGAAGTCAAACCATTGGAGAGTTACAGCGCCTGCTGTGGCTGTAGAGGCTGATGAAGGAGAGACATGTTTTGTTGCAGTTGGGGCAGATGAAGGCATCTGGTTGTGGAGATGCAGGTGTACCATAGCGTTGATAATAATGCGCTTTATTGCTGAAACCTGGCTTGGGACCTTAAGGTAAAGGGCAGGGCTAAAGGAGAACAAAACCAAACCAAAAAAACCAGACAAAGCCCGTCCAGCAGATCTGAAGCTCACCTTGCAAGAGGGTGTAGAAGGCACCTGAGGCTGAGAGGTTGGTTGTTATGGTGACGTCATCCTTGCTGGAGGTCTCAACCTGGACATGCACTGAGCTGTCCGTGTCACTGCGGAAACTGCTGACCTGACCGGTAGGGAAAGTGATGTTGGTGAGGCGGCCAAAACTGTCGTACCTGGAAAGGAAGGAGATGCATGAGTAGCAAACAGGAGGAGGAGAGAGAGACAGAGAGATAGAGAGAGACAGGAACCTCCACCCCAAAGCATTGGGTTTTGACTTGTTGCCATCTGACCTAAACCTTGCAGTGCAAGAAAAAAATCTTTTTTTTTTTAAAAAAGAGAGAAATAGTATCACTCATGCTGCAAACCATTTGAGCAACCTCTTTTTTATTTTTATTTATTTGCTTCTTTGCTGTTTGCTCACCAGGTCCTGACCTCACTTGCCATATTTTTCCGTCTATAAGACACCCCCATGTATAAGACTCAGATTTGGGGACTCAGATTTAAGAAAATCGGGGGAGATGGCCCAGAGTATAAAACGCCCCCTAATTTTTGACTTTATTTTTTAGGAAAAAACCGTAGTCTTACACATGGAAAAAATACGGTATATCCCAAGTAGCTGCTAAAAGGTTGCATGTTAGGGAGGAAGGTGAATAGCTAGAGCGACTGATGTTCTTTTGACGGTGATTTTTTAATTAGTGGCAGATGAGGTGTAAAATATTCTCACCCAGAAAGAAAAATCTGCTCTGCTTCCGAGGAGGATGTGCGAACACAAATTCTGAAAAGAGTTTGCTGCCGCTGTTCCTCTTGGCCACACAGGAATGCTTCTTTTAACAAACGCTTTGTGAAACTTTCCCTTCCACCTTCTTATGCCTGCTTTGCCCTGATGTTCCTAAAGATGTCTTAGGGCTTTCCATACTGCTTTGCAGCAGAGTTCCTCTCACGTCTGGGCCCCAATTCGCACACGGCTTGACAGGTTAAGTTTTGAATCTGCAGAATTCTCAGCTTGCGAGAGAGCGGTTTTGATTCAAGGGTTGCGCATGGAAAAATGGCACAAGATGTTCAAAGACACTGCTGATCTGGGCAGATGAAGCAAAAGCAAAAAATGGCTTGAAATCGAAAGGGCTGAGTTAGATGTGTTCTATGAGTGCAGGTCCGTAAGTGTGGACATTTCTAGCCTTTAAGGAACTGTTTTCACACATTTTTTTAAAATTAATTGCGACCTAAAATCCGAATAGCTTATATCTATGTATATGTAAGGGATGTGGGTGGCACTGTGGGTTAAACCACAGAGCCTAGGACTTGCCAATCAGAAGGTCAGCGGTTCGAATCCCCGCGACGGGGTGAGCTCCTGTTGCTCGGTCCCTGCTCCTGCCAACCTAGCACTTTGAAAGCACGTCAAAGTGCAAGTAGATAAATAGGTACCGCTCCGGCGGGAAGGTAAACGGCGTTTCCGTGTGCTGCTCTGGTTCGCCAGAAGCGGCTTAGTCATGCTGGCCACATGACTCGGAAGCTGTACGCCGGCTCCCTCGGCCAGTAAAGCGAGATGAGCGCCGCAACCCCAGAGTCGGCCACAACTGGACCTAATGGTCAGGGGTCCCTTTACCTTTATGTATATGTTTTTATATATGTTGGAAGCCGCCCAGAGTGGGTGGGGCAACCCAGTCAGATGGGCGGGATACAAATAAAAAAAAATTATTATTATCATAACTGATTTGTCTGATTGAGTGAAATCCTAGAATCATAGAACTGGAAGGGACCACGTGGTTCATCTACTCCAACCCCCTACAATGTAAGAATCCTTTTGCCCAACGTGGGGCTCAAACTCACAACCCTGAGATTAAGAGTCGCGTGCTCTACCAACTGAGCTATCCTGTAGGCTTGATTATACTAACCACCCCTCTTGATACTTCAGGAGTCCCCTAAACAGAAACAAACCAAGTTTCTCCTTTCTGTAACATCTTTTTTCTGTTACAGGTAGGTAGTCGTGTTGGTCTGCCGTAGTCGAAACAAAATAAAAAACATTCCTTCCAGTAGCACCTTAGAGACCAACTGAGTTTGTCATTGGTATGAGCTTTCGTGTGCCTGCACACTTCTTCAGATACGGATTTATCTTTTTTTCTGTGTGCCCTTTCGTAAGTGAGGAAACCCAGGGAAGCTGGAAATTGGGGCAGCCTACAGAAAACCCCTGAAAAGAGCGTCCAGAAGACCCGTTCAGCAACTGCATCGTTAAAATCAAAACAGACAAACCAAAAGCACCACCATTCCCCCAAAAACATCTGTTCTGAAAACTGGGTAAAACGGACAGGTGTCAACGTATTGAGATCTCTGCTCATTTCCACCTCTATGAAGGCACATAATTCGGTTTGAAAAGGTAGCCTAGGAAAATGAGGTTACAGGGCACCAGGCAGAGGGCCTTCTCGGTAGTGGCGCCTGCCCTGTGGAACGCCCTCCCAGCAGATGTCAAGGCAATAAACAACTATTTTAATTTGAAAAGACAACTGAAGGAAGCCCTGTTTAGGGAAGTTTTTAATGTCTGACGCTGTATTGTTTTTAATATTCAGTTGGAAGCCGCCCAGAGTGGCTGGGGAAACCCAGCCAGATGGGCAGGGTATAAATAATAGATTATTATTATTATTATTATTATTATTATTACAGTGGTGCCTCGCAAGACGAAATTAATTCATTCCGCGAGTTTTGTCGTCTTGCGATTTTTTTCGTCTTGCGAAGCACGGTGTCGGGAAAGTTTTGGAAAAGCTTCAAAAACCTCAAAAAGCTTTAAAAACCTCAAAAAAAGGCTACCACACTGCGTTCTATGAGTTGCTCCTCGAAGTCAAGTCGCAACTGTATTAACGGTGTTAAGAAAAAGGAAACAAACTTGCAAGACGTTTCCGTCTTGCGAAGCAAGCCCATAGGGAAAATCTTTCTTGCGAAGCAGCTCAAAAAACAAAAAACCCTTTCGTCTAGCGAGTTTTTTGTCTTGCGAGGCATTCGTCTTGTGAGATACCACTGTATTATTATCTGTAGGGAGACAAATCCTCACAAGTCAATTCATTCCACGGCTAAGCTGGCTGGGCCCTGTTTCCACAGCCCAAAGGATTCAGAAGTTAGGCTGGTCTCCATCACACCCTAATGTTCTCATGTTCATTTAACGCTCTGACTTGCACCAGAATTAAGGACAAACGCCGTGACGCAGGGAGGCTCCGAGCAGCCGGCGCCAGCAATGAATTAATCACCCCCCCTCATGTAACCTGCCGCTGTCCGACCGAGCTACCCCAGCCTTTACAATCACGGTGGCAATTATGAGGCTGACAAAGGAAACCAGGGCCATCCATCCCCAAATGGAAACGCATTTAGCCGCGGTTCACTGCACAGAATTAATGCAGTATTTGGTGCTTATGAGACCTAATTGTTTGCTTGTGAACATCGGACACCGTCATTTGTCACATTACTGGCGCGGAAAGGAGGCGGTTGGTTCCAGAAATGCCTGCTCAGAAGCTCCCATCCCCCCAGGTCCTCTGCTTTAGGCAACCTTTGGCAGCTAAATAATCGGTGGGAAATGAGTCACCTTGAAATACTGCTACGTTCGGTGACTAGGAAGCAGAAATAGCATCAGTTGTGTTTTTTTTCCAAGACACGGGGGTTTGGGAGAAAGGGAAAAGGGGCCATAGCCTCCAATTTCAACTGCCTGGCTAAACTTTTAGCTACTGACAGTGCTGCAGGCCTTGGAAAATGGGATGAGGTTCAAAATGCAATTTTCAGTAAAACAAATCTCTTGGGTGTTGGTCCTTGTCCCAAACCTCTCAGGCTTGTGCGAGGGCCTCCATTATGCCTCAGATTGTGCTGTACCCAAGGACACTGGCTCCTGGGCTCTGAGGTAATGTGGGACCCCCCAATATATATTTTAGGGGGCCGGGCCCCCAATGTTCAGAGGGCACCCCGCGCAAAGTCCGGCCCCCTCGATCCTCCAGAAAAGGTGGGGCCTCTGTGCTGCGCGCATGGTTTCAGCAAGGGGAGGAGTTGGGGGAGAACTCCACACCCTGAAGTAAGTTCCAGGGGGCAAAATTAATTCATGGGAATTCGCTGCTGGAAGATATGGCGACGGTCACTGGACTTGATGGCTTCAGAAGGGGATTAGAGGGTAAATTCACCGAGGATGGGGAGGTGGTCTAACAGCAGCCATTAGCTTTGATAGCCACCTGAGCAGACTTTATTTGGATGACTACAATGATAACTGATAATATATCAGGCTACTGACAATTACAGTCATACCTTGGTTCTCGAACCGAATGCATTCCGGGAGTCCGTTCGAACTCCCAGAACTGTTCAAAAACCAGAGTGCGGCTTCCGATTGGCTGCAGGAACGTCCTGCAGCCAATCGGAAGCTGCGTCTGATGTCTGGCTTCCGGAAATCATTCGAAAAGTGGAACACTCACTTTCGTGTTTTGATCGTGTGGGAGCCGATTTGTTCGAGAGCCAAGGTATTCGGCTTCCAAGGTACAACTATATATGTGTATTAGGATAATAAGAATATGCACATCTGTATATTAATGTAAGGGATGTGGGTGGCGCTGTGGGTTAAACCACAGAGCCTAGAACTTGCTGATCAGAAGGTCGGCGGTTTGAATCCCCGCAACGGGATGAGCCCCCGTTGCTTGGTCCCTGCTCCTGCCAACCTAGCAGTTCGAAAGCACGTCAAAGTAGATAAATAGGTACCACTACGGCGGGAAGGTAAACGGCGTTTCCATGTGCTGCTCTGGTTCGCCAGAAGCGGCTTAATCATGCTGGCCACATGACCTGGAAGCTGTACGCCGCTCCCTCAGCCAATAAAGCGAGATGAGCGCCGCAACCCCAGAGTCGGTCACGACTGGACCTAATGGTCAGGGGTCCCTTTACCTTTACCTTATATTAATGTATGGTAATATAGTGGTATTTTTTTCATTCTCACTCACTTTTTTCTTACTCTATCTTTTTATAAATGAAATTCATCCTCATCCTCACCATCATTATTATTAAAGCTTTGGTAGCTATCTGGAACTTTCACATCCCAAAAAGACAATGTGCCCCTGTTTACTGCTGTGGGATGGCAACAATGGAAGAGGCCTATTATGTTCATAGTGTTCTGTGGGTTTCTCAAGAGTATCTGCTTGGCCACTGGACTACACAGGCCTTTGGTCTGATTCAGAGAAGCTCTTCCTATCTCCTTAATGTTGGCTGTGGTTTTACTGTACGTGTAGCGACTGATGGATGACGCCATGGCCTTTGTTTGGTGAAATAAACGATGGCAATATTCTTAATGCGATCTGGGATTCTGTTACACCCAACAAAATACTCACTCATAAAACGTCGTCCACCCGTTTTCATTGCTCTTGGTGGCAAGGAGGCCAGAAATGCCATGATAGGTCATCATGGCCACCTCGTGCCCCTGGGCTGTCACGCTCTTCAGGGCGCTGTTGGTGCCAATGGTCAGCCAGTAGACCTGCCCGTCCGGTACCACCAGCCAGAGCGGCATCCCGGTGGAATCCCTCCGGATGTTGACCAGGTTTCCATTGTTGTCGGTGATCAGGGTGATGTCCCCGTCTCCGGTATAGGTGAAGTTGTAGAGGTAGTCTCCGGTGGGGAGGCTCTGGGTGAAAAGGTGTTTGCCGCTGGTGTCGAACAGGTAGAGCTCTTGGTCGATGGGCGAGGACAACTCGTACAAGTTCTGCGTGTTGAGGAACGGCTTGTTCTTCCGGATGAAACGGATCCGGATGTTCCCCAGGTCAGCCACGTACAGCTCCCCGTCCGCGCACACCGCCAGGGAGGAAGGGGCGTTGAGCTTGGCATCCTTTGCGTAGCCGTCGTCGCCGGAAAAGCAATCGCAGCTGACGTCATTTTTGCAGTCGCAGCCGCTCGGGGCGCCGGCCACCAGAGAGATTTCCCCGTTGGTGGTGACCTGCCTAATGCGGTTGATCTTCTTCTCGTCCGTCTCCGTGATGTACAGGACGCCGCTGTGAGAGACGGCCAGAGCTGTGGCGGATTCCAAGGTAGCATGGATGGCCACCTTACTGAGAAGGAAGTGGTCAATGCCCGGAACCTGGCAATGCATTGGTCTCCCTGCCAGGATTCGCACTTGGTGGTTTTCGGAAATCTGCAGTACCACGTTGTTGTCGAGGACGTACAGAGAATTGTCCATCGGGTTGACCGCCAGGTCCGTAGGCCACTCCAGACGGACCTAACAGAACGGAAAGAAGCAGAAACGGTTCTTAGGACCACCACCATTCGTGTTAACATTGCAAGAATAGTGTCTTGGTTTATATGTGGGTTACGCAAGAATAAATGGATTGTTATTGTATCATATATCTGTCACGAGGGTGCCGTTCAACAGCTCACTGGGCTAACTGCCCGGTGAGATCTGAGACGTGGAGAGCGTCTTTCAGTTCTTTTACTTATCAACATGCTGGACTATGCCGAGATGGCAAAATCAACCAGGAGACTCAGGAATCAAGAATATAAGGACTTTAAAAAAGAATGGGGAAAACTAATAATCTACCTAAGAGAACATTGTAAGCAAATTAAAACGTTAGATGGACTTAAGAATCACTTGTAAAGCGACGAGGTGTATGCATAACTTATAGTAATGAGAATTATGGAGAATATATTGATATGTAGATTGGTAAAAAAATTGTTACTAGGATCCATGTTAAGGGGGGGGGAGTCACGAGATTCAGAAAATCTCATGGATTGATTTTATAAAGAATTTTGTTATTGCTCTGTATATATAAAAGCCAATTAAAAATTATTTCAAACAACAACAGAAATACACAGAGACATGGAATGTACTCCCCCTTTCTTGAGCTGTTGCTCCAAGTGTCCGCTTCTCCCCCCTGGCAGTTACTTCCTAGCTTCTAGACCCCTCCTGCTGTTTACGGTGGCCAGCAAGGAAATATTTCTGGTTCTAGGACAGGCATAGGCAAACTCGGCCCTTCAGATCAGGCTTCCTCAGCCTTGGCCCTCCAGATGTTTTGAGACTACAATTCCCATCATCCCTGACCACTGGTCCTGCTAGCTAGGGATGCTGGGAGTCATAGGGCGGAGGTTGAGGAAGCCTGCTCCAGATGTTCTGGGACTACAACTCCCATCATCCCTAGCTAGGTTTGAGCTTCCCGGCCACTTTCCCCGCAAAAACCTGAACTGACATTTACCATGATTCATCCCTAGCTAACAGGACCAGTGGTCAGTGATGATGGGAGTTGTAGTCTCCAAACATCTGGAGGGCCAAGTAATACTGTAATAATGTTATGACATAAGAGACAAACGACAGCAAAGAGGGAGAGAACAAAATCACCATGGAAAGCGGGATGCGAAGTCGACAAAACAAAAAAACTAAATTATGTACTAGCGTGTATACGTGGAATTTTTAAAATTAGAATATTTTAAAAAATAAAATAAAATGGATTTTTTGAAAATTAGATGCATTACTTACTAAAGGGACTCTGTTCTACATTGTGACTTGAAACACAATGTAGAACAGCATAAGAGAAACGGGTTTGGGAACTGGGTCCTTATACTAAGATTCTGATAGGTCCTGATCGTAGCCCTTTAAACCCAAACTGCCACACTCTTAAATTCGAAGCACATCCTGCAATTATAGAGAAGGGCTCATTGTGGCTCAGGATCCCTGGCAAATGAAGCAGGAAGCCATGTGTCATTTCAGCTCAGGATCCAGGGATCCTCACCACGAGAGTGGCTGAATGTCCAGAGCAAAAAGCAGATATTTAACTGCAGTTTCCCCCCCATCATGGCCGAAGAGAAGAACGGACAAGAACCATGGGCAAAAAAATTAAGATGACTGTTTTGGCTCAGCCCTAATCAAGAGATGGTTGTGTTTTAGTTTGCAACATGTTTTAGAAAATGCAAATTGGATAAGATCCGCCTTTAAATATGAACCGAGCTGAATCCGTCCCTCCAGCCCAGCCCTAATTAGGTGGCATCTCCTTATCTTCTGGTCCTGAATGGCAGCAGTTTACCAGCTTGTGTAGACCCCAAAGAAATTGCTGCAAGGTGGGTTCACCTGTCCATCTTAAGCAAAAGCTACTGTCATGGTTCTAGTTCTCATTGAGGTTGTGAATATATGTCTGTGCTGCTTCCCTTCAGAATGCCAATGGGTGCCCATGTAAACGAATGCTCTTCTCTCTAATTAGACTGGCATGCGCCAAGAGACAGTGGGGAGATCTCCCCCCCCCAAGTATATACATTTGGACATCTGTATTGGTTTTTAAACAGGCTTTTGAAAACCCATTAATTTCAAGCTGGCGAGCTTCTGATTATTTAATGGTTTATTAAATTGCTGCTGCTGGTTTAAAATGCCCTCCCCCCCTACACTCCTTAATTGTTTAAATTGTTTGTGCTGGGCTGTGAAATGTCTTCAGACTGCTGTTTTAGTGCGTTCTAGTTTCACCTGAATGAAATATTTTGTTTTCTCCGTTTCATTTATCTAAGGGTTGCTGCCGCCTTGCAGGCAGGTTGCCCCCCTGCAAGATGGCAAAGCAATATTTGAAAAGAAATAAAAATAAAATAAACAACATCAAATATCATAGAATCATAGAGTTGGAATAGACCACAAGGGCCATCGAGTCCAACTCGATGCAATATCCTGCAGATAATGATGATGATGATAATAATAATAATAATAATAATAATAATAATAATAATTTTTTATTTATACCCTACCCTTCCTGGTTTAAAAACTGGGCTCAGGGCGGCTAACAGCAAATATAAAGCACTGATTAAAATGCGACTTTAAAACAGCATAAAATACAACATAAAATGCAGCATCAATATCAATAAAATTCAAAAATTCAGGGGTCATTTTTTTTGGGGGGGGGGCCAGTCAGTAGACATCAAATAGTAAACCGGTATGTCATGGAGAGAGCTATGTTAGAAGCCTTTGGCCTGGCCTCTCATCTTCGAGGTGCAAAGGTTTTTTTGCAGGGGTTTCTTTGAAAGTTTTGTTCTTCTTAAGCTTTTGGACGCAGCATTGCTAAATCAGAGGCAGCTTTACGGGGCATCTAGCTTAACGCACTGCACAATGTTGGATATCCAGGCCCAGCCTAACCTCAAGAGATGGCTAATGTCTCCTTAGCCTAATGTCATGGGGTTCCACGTGTCCTCTTTTCCCCCAGGACACATCCTCTTTCCCAGGGGTAAAATTTCTGTCTGGGCGGATTTTTCAAAATTTGCCAAAATGTCTCTGGCTATAGTTTCTGGATGAGACATAACTGGTGGTTGAAGGCTTGCTATCCTCTTCTCTTCTCCTGCCCCACTCAACAATGTATCACAGCTTCTATAGCCTACATATAGTAGGGGCATTTAAAATAGAGAGTCATCACCGCGTCCTCTTTTTTTGCTCTTCAAAATATGACAACCCTAGACATTACAGTGGTACATCTGGATGTGAACGGGATCCGTTCCGGAGCCCCGTTCACATCCTGAAGCGAACGTAACCCATGTTTGCGCGTGCAAGGGTTGTGATTCGCCGCTTCTGCGCATTATGTCAATTTGAGCGTCTGCGCGAGCGGCAAAACCCAGAAGTAACGCATTCTGTTACTTCCGGGTCGCTGCGGAGTGTAACCTGAAAACGCTCAACCTGAAGCTACTTCAAGCCAAGGTATGACTGTACTAATCTATGCAATACAGTGGCACCTCAGGTTACAGACACTTCAGGTTACAGACTCCGCTAACCCAGAAATAGTACCTCGGGTTAAGAACTTTGCTTCAGGATGAGAGCAGAAATCGTGCTCCGGCGGTGCGGCGGCAGCGGGAGGCCCCATTAGCTAAAGTGGTGCTTCAGGTTAAGAACAGTTTCAGGTTAAGAACGGACCTCTGGAACGAATTAAGTTCTTAACCCGAGGTACCACTGTATAAGGTTGGGGAGGAAGAGGGGGAGAGAGATATATTCGTCTACTTAGTGTACGTGTTGGGTGTTTGTGTCAGCGTCATTTGGGTAGGTTCTCTTTCAATTTGTTTATTATATTTCTTTGGTAGTGACAGAGCCATTAAGAGAGAGAGAGAGAGAGATGGAGCTGGAGAGAGATAGAGACCACCATCCCTTCAGGTAGACGAGAGATCAGTCCTACCTATACTCTGAAATGGTACCCCCCAACAACTTAGGTTTACTGCCTCGGTGGGAACTAGGCCACCGACAAAGCTGCATCTGGTCTCTTTTTTTCCTCCCTTTTGGCTCCTGGCCCTCCTTAACCCTTCCTGTAGTAAAACATGACAGCTTGTGGTTTCCCCTTCAATAATGCATGCCTCTCTGCCTTGCCGACAGCCTTCTGAGCGCCTGCTACTACGCTTGCAACCTTGAGTTAGCATCAAGAATGTAAGTTTATTCGGAAACGGCGAGGGAATTCCAGCCCCCCCCCTTTCTTAAAACCAATTCCTTGTCAACAACGACGGCTAAATATTTTATGGCTGCTGGTCCCTCACTGCCTGAGGGCCTCTGACTGAAGAGACCTCGAGAGCGGCTTTATAGGATGAAAGAAGGGAGAGTTCCCTAACCGGGGTGGTTTTAAAGAGACCTCTCGCCAGCATCTGCGAGATGCAAGCGGGCTTCTCGAAAACGGGTCCCTCGCCTTTGAAAGAAGGAAGAATGGGAGCCTGGGCTCCAGATGGCTGCTTCTAAAAGCTTTTGCAAGGACTATATAGAGAAGACGTATTGTATGCATTTTTCAAAACACATCCAGTGATGAGATGGAGTTGGGGAAAGCTTGGGAGCTGGGGAAATATGATGGACCGCAAAGCTTCCTAAAGTTCAGTTGGAATAATAATAATAATAATAATAATAATAATAATAATAATAATACCCTGCCCATCTGACTGGGTTTCCCCAGCCACTTTTGACGGCTTGCAGAAATATATAAAAAATAATAAAATGTCAAACATTAAAAGCTTCCTGATACAGGGCTGCCTTCAGATGTCTTCTAAAAGCTGTGCAGTTGTTTATTTCCTTGACATCTCATGGGAGGGTGTTCTCCAGTGAAGGTGCCACTACCAAAAAGGCCCTCTGCCTGGTTCCCTGTAGCTTCACTTCCTGCAGTGAGGGAACTGCCAGAAGACCCTCAGTGTTGGACCTCAGTGTCCGGGCTGAATGATGGGGGTGAAGATGCTCCTTCAGGTATACAGGGCTGATGCCGTTTAGGGCTCTAAAGGTCAACACCAACATTTTGAATT